TGGGGTGGTGGTGTTTTCCCCAGATAATTTAGTGTTTTCCCCGAAACACCCCCCGAAACCCATTAATACGACCCGTTTGCCAGGTCTACTTATAGGAAAAAAAAAAAGAATTTTTTAGTTTTTTTTTTTTTAAATTTCTTTTTTTTTTTTCATAATTTTATTGGCAAAAAAATGCTAGCCATTAGATTGGATTCGGAGAAGCAGATCGGAGGGCTGGGGGAGTGACACGTGGCTTCTTCCCGTTGGAGATGCGTAGGGCTGACGTCAAGCATGCTGGTTTAAATTTTTTTTACCGTTGGCGCGTTCAACGGTAAAAAAATTTGAACCCACATGCTTGACGTCAAGTGTGAACTGACCTTCGGGCCAGCCCGAGTTGCGTGAGACCCACTCCAGCCCGGGCTTGGGCTCACCAGTGGAAACCATTTTTTGCAAAAAAATCCCCCAACCTGAGGCAAAGGGGCCTCGCTGGAGTTGCTCTTACAAGTTCCCGATTTATACAGTACACCGTTACCTGTATATGTGGTTGTTTGAACTCTCTTAACTTTCCTTGTTTTTTTATTTATTTTTCATAATTAACATACGATGCCACTAAAAAGCAAAAACTAATTTCGTAAAGGAAAGGGACAGAGCGCGCTTGCTGTGCAGTCGAAGCTGATTCAGATTCCGGAGTCCGTTCCCCTCTCTCCAAATTCAAAAACCCCATCAAAATAAACCAACCCTAAAGCCTCTCTCTAGGGAGAAAGAGGGAGAGACGGAGGAGGAGACAAGGGTAGAGCACATTCCCAATCCCCTCCGGTTCGTTCTTCCTTTTCTTCTGCTTCTTCTAGGGTTTCATTTGCTTTCAGAAATGGCAACTAGAAAAGAGGAAGAGCGAAACGAGAAAATCATACGAGGCCTGATGAAGCTTCCTCCTAATCGAAGATGCATAAACTGCAATAGCCTGGTACAGTTCCCAGTCTCTTTCTGTGTTTCAGTTTTCTCGGAAGTTTTTTTCGGCTGGAGGATTTGATTCAGTGTAATTTTGTTTGTACATACAGGGTCCTCAGTATGTCTGCACGAATTTCTGGACATTCGTTTGCATTACTTGCAGCGGCATACAGTCAGTTTATTTTTATATTTAATTTAAATTTTTTAAATTTCATTTTTCTTTGAAATAATTTGACCCAGTTTCTTGTATTAGCACATAATTGTTTGCTCTACTAAATGTTTATGTCCTACTAGTATTGCGATCTTCAGATGGTATGGAAAACCTTTTTAATCTGCTATCTATGACTGCTGCTTTTTTGCTTGGTCAATTGTATCTCTTAGTATTAGGTTTTTTGCTAAAGTTAACTACTTCATTATGCTCTTAGTATTTTTTTTTTTAGCTCTTAGTATTAGTTAGACTTTTGAGGATACATGGGCTATAGAAGAATTGTTCTGCTTGCTGCCATCTGTGCAACAAGGCCACTAAAATGAATATTGAACAGGTAAATATGGAATATTGATGTGATTGTATATGCACAAAAGTTTAGTTGAATGCAACAGTTTCAATTTTGACCCATATGTAGAGATTGGACAGTAAATTATTGCAAAACCTATCCATATGTACTGTTATTATCCAGACCACAATAGGAAACTTTTGGCATCAAATTGCATGCCTCATATAGCATCCATGAACTAAACCTAATGCTTACACAATTATGCTTAAGGACTAGTCTAATACTCATTAAAAATCCATAAATTAAAGCTAACACGTCAGCAACCATTAATATTCAAAGATATTAAACTAGGACAATAATTATTTTTTCCTTCAAATATTGAGGAAATTAACGTTTTTTCCCACTTAGTGAACTGCAGCTTCATCTTCTTCTCTCTCTCTCTCTCTCTCTCTCTCTCCATACAATCAATTGTTTCGTAAGTGGGCCAGTTTCTTTTTGGGGGTTACCATCGCTATGGGAGATGCTCGGTGCCCATGTCAGAGCCAAAGCTGTCCATGTCGCTCCATTATAACCAGTTTGCGATTGATCATGGGCTGTGGCTAGCTCAATTGAGCAAGTGCCAAGAATTTTGGACTTAGTTTTAAGTGAGTCATCCAATGGAATGGTGCAAAAAATTACTGCTAACCAGATAAGATTTAGCTATAGTTTTAAAGATCTTACCTATCCAAAACATAGCTAACACATTGAGGACAGCCTCAAATATGAAGTCTGTAATTTAGAGCGTCACACCTGGTGAAACTGTTTTGGAAGCCTTAAAAATATTCAAGAGTAAACTAGAGTTCTTAGGTTTAATTATTTTGGTTACTTGCATAGCATATGTGATAGGTTTTGAACTGTCTGATATCGTAAAATATTGTAAAAGTGACAAGGGCTTTTAATTTTTCCTTTTCAATTAATCAGTGTATTTCGGCAATGCATGATGCAGTGAATCTTAAAGTTATTTTTGTTTCTTTATTTAAAAGTGGAGGATTAGGTGAGATTAGCTCCACAGTGAAGGTGAGAAGAGTTAAGCACCTGGAAGATAAATGAATTGTAAAGTTCTTTTGGAGATAACTGAATTGTAAATTTCCTAATGTGCTATTCCTTTTTTGTTTTAATTATTGGAAAATATTAACTAAGCAAAAAATACTAGAATGACTTAGTAGATTTGTAGAGACAGGGCTGTGTTTTTCATCAGGATGCATTCATTCATGCTTTTTCTGTTATTTAGTATTCCTTTTCTTGTTATTAATACTTTTGCAATGTGCACAGGCCAGCCGTGTGCTTCATTATGAACGCTTGTATGTTCTTTGCCACTCTTTATTCTGAATTATTCCTCTAAATGATTATGTCTCGCTTTGTATGCCCATATGATTAGTTCTTGGAGATTGAGATTTTTATTTCTACCCCATTTCCAACCTTCGATTGGTAGTTCATGCTAAAATGAGTTTACAAACCTTGAGCACGTTGGTACTTAATGTAGTTTCCTTCATAAGCACTGTCTGTTTTCACAACTTTAAATGATGTGGTCTTTTTGTGCTGGATGGAGAATTTGTATCACTTTAGCTAATTTTATTGAGCCTTGGCATGTTTCACATGTGCTTGATTCGCCTTTCTTTTCCCCTAATAAAATTATACATATTATTTTGTTATATAGTCGTGAATTTACTCATCGTGTGAAGTCGGTATCCATGTCTAAGTTTACGTCACAAGAAGTTGAGGCACTTCAGAATGGTGGTAACCAGGTATATGCTGAATTATCTTTTTCCTTGAAAGAAGGGGTTTGCTTATTTTCATTCTAATGGGCCATTCACTCTTTTCAGCGTGCGAGGGAAATTTATTTGATGGATTGGGACCTTCAAAGGCAGCGATTGCCAGACAACAGGTGATAGCTATATGATTTATTGCTAAAGTGTTCAGTATGTGCATTTCTGGGGGAAGCATTCATGCCATATTTTCTTCTCGCAGTAAGGTTGATAAAATCCGTGAGTTCATAAGAAGTGTATATGTGGATAGAAAATATGCTGGAGGAAGGACCTCTGAAAAGCCTCCAAGAGATATGCAGGTAATATCATGGATTAAAATAGCGATATTGGAAGATATATTGGTAGTTTGGATTCATGAAAATATCAGCGAAAATATTGATATTGTTGGAAAACAAAAGATGATGAAAAATTTCTTTCAAATGTAGAATAGTATATCTGTTCTAAATATGGCATGTGTAGTGGAAACAACAAAGGCTAGCACAAAAGATGTATATATCGAATGTGTTCGCCCAACAATCTTACACTTTGAATTATTTTGCTCTGCTGAGATTATGGGCTTAACTTGTCCCATCCCTTGCAGAACCATAGAATTCATGAAGACGAGACAAGACGCGCTAGTTCTTATCATTCTTATTCTCAGAGTCCACCTTATGATTATCAGTATGAAGATCGACGGTATGGGAAACAAGCTGCTGTGCTTACCAGGAAGCCTGGTTCTGATCGAGGTCGATATGATGGAAACATGTCTAGTTTTGTTTACAGTGCTGGCCGATTAAGTGAACAAATGTATGAAGACAGGTTTGCGAATGAGGGCTCTGGTTCGAGAGTTTCAGATTTTTCTGTCTCAAGTGGAGGTGATGCATCTAGATCTGGAATACAGTCTCCTAATTTTCAGAAGGAGATTGGATCCAGCAGCCCTTCTTTTCCACCTGCATTGGATAATCTAACTGAAGTAAGCTGCCAAGCGAAAAATGTATTTTTGGAGGCCAATTCCAAGAGAGATGCAGCGGGGATAACATGTCCGCAGGTTATTTTCTTGTAGACTTGGTTTTAACATTCAAAAGGATTTGCAGTATCCAGTGATTCTTTTAATTTTTCAGTTGTGTGCCCTTCACTATTTTAATAAGGATGCAATATAACTTTTGACTTTGCTGGTTGTTCAATATAGATGACTGTTGGCCACTTACCATATGAGTTGGAGGACTTTTTTCTCCATGAAAAAACATCATAAGTAACTTCAACTATGCTTTTCAGTTACCATACTTAGATATATGGCCCATTCACAACAATAATTATATACAATTTGTATAAATACACAAACGCATCAAACACATAAACACTTTGAGCATCTACAATCATGTTCTTTATTTTTTAGTTAAAATTTAGCTAAAAACATATAAAAGATATTTTAGGAGCTCTCTATAAAATTTTAACTCCAATCACTCTCTCTAGTTTAGGAAGTCATAAATGCTATAACTCTTTTTTAATTGGTCCATCTTTATTAAAAAAAATAGTTAGCATTAATTAAAGGTTTAAAATACTCGTAAAATAAAGCAGCATTAAATTATAGGGAGCCACTAGGAATTTTCTCTCTCTTCAGATTTAGGAGCTCCTAAAAGTCTCCCTATTTTAGGAGGTGGATAGGGAGCATGGTTGGAGTTGTATTTTTCCAATTCCTCCCTAAAATTTGTCTAAGGAGATGGTTTAGGGAGCCCATTGTGGATGCTCTTACAAGGACACATAGGAGAAGAAGCGATGATGCTTTGGAAATTATGAGGACAACTTCCAGCTATATTATCTATAACTCAATGTAAGATGGCAAAAGGCTTCCCCATCAGTATGTATATACATATGCATGCATGCTTTCATGCACTCATGTGTTTGTATGCATCCGTATTTATGTACTCTTATAAAATGCACACACACACTTGGTGTTTCACCTCTGCGACGCCCCCCAACGTCGTTGATTGCATTGAGTTTAACTTACTGTTCAACAACATGATCGACAATCTTTGGTGCCTCACAATTGAAAGTCCACATGCATATATTTATATATATGTGT